CTGTTAAGCTTGCCTGAACGCTGGAGTTAAGGGCACGAGGAACATAAGCCCAACTTATAATATGTTATTAATTTGAATTTGTTAGTAACTGAGGAGAACCGTAGTAAATAAACGATTAAGTTATGGCCCTCACAGTTTAATTTAGAAACCTCTTGGTTAGCATAATTTGAGGCGTGCCGTGCCAAACAAATCTCAATTGCATGGCCCTCGTTTAATTCCTTAGAAATCAAGGCGTGCCATTTAATTTTCATGGCCCTCGCAAAGTTGCAAACGCGTAGTTGCTTTAGGCGCGTTATTTTAATAATTTACCTTCCTAAACTCGGGTGCGCATTTATGTGAGCCAAATCCAAATCTCAACAATGTTATATAGAATGTGTTGCGGACCGCGGGTGCATTTATGTGACGTGGTTCAAGACATATTTTAAATGACGTTGCAAATCTTTCTTTAAAAATAATTAAAAGCGGTTGTAAAGTTAAAAAATGCACATAGGTTTCAAAGTGTTTTAAAATCGGATAATTGAGCCAATAACAACAGTTGAGTGACCGTGCTAGAACCACGGAATCCGGGAATGCCTAACACCTTCTCCCGGGTTAACAGAATTCCTTACCCGGATTTCTGTGTTCGCGGACTGTAAACAGAGTCAATCTTTCCTCGATTCGGGATTTGAACCAGTGACCTAGGACACCATAAATTATCCCAAGTGGCGACTCTGAATCTAATAAATAATCCCGTTTCGATTGTTCTTTAATTGAAAAAACTCCCTTATACCCTTCCGGGGGTAGGAAAAAGGAGGTATGATAGGCGTGTCCTCACTATCTGTGAGAGAATAAAAGAGTCAAGTTTCAAGCTTCGGAAATAACAAATCTGTACGATAAGAATGCAAGAAAGTGAAGTTTCCTAACGGTTCGGTAGCCGCTCAAAGATAATTACAGATGTCTCTGTACCGATCAGTAAGACTCTACTAAACCTGCTCATGACTAGAGAGACCTAAGTAACATAGTGCTCTGATACCAACTTATCATGACCCAACTCGCACCGGAGCCGCGACGGCACCTAACACTGCATGCTAGGCCAGCCAACAATTCACATAATAACAAAGCATTTGGATAAACATGATTTATTAACATTAACAGCGGAAATATCATAATGATCTAATGAAAATAGTAACAATACTAATACAACCATCCCCAAAACTTGGTGTCAGCGAGTACATGAGCACTACTGAGTATCAGAACATGAACCAAATCCTTAGTACAACTGCATGAGTAATAGAACAGTACTGAAGAAAATAAAGGGAAGTAGAGTCAAGGTCTGTGGATGTCATAGCATCTACCCTGAAGTCTCCAGGTACTGATACTAGCACTGATCTAGCAATCACCACGTGCGTATGCACCTAGATCTGCACACGAAGTGCAGAGTGTAGTTGGATTACAACCGACCCCATGTACTCAATAAGTAACAGAACTAACCTCTTAAAGCAGTGACGAGCTTAGAAGAAGACAATCAGAAACCAGAATAAATGACAACACATATGAGGATGACAAGAGAAATAAGTAACTCAAAGGAATTATCATAATCGGCTCGTTAATTATACATGAATGTAGACATGCTTTCAAGTATAACAATTTAAGCCCAACACTAATAAGAACATGTTAGTTACAGCTAGCATGAGGAATGATACATCTTTATTCCTGCATGTCAAGTATGCATGCCAAATGAATGATTTCACATTGGTATCCCCAAAAGCTCTCACTCACAACATACTCAAGTTGTCTATCTTGATGCCCACCTCATCACACACTCATAATCACTCAGCACTGTATGGGTGCCCGCATCAATGACCCTCACAAAAGCACGTGCATATATATTACTATACCTGCTCCCACTGCTGGTATGTCGGACTTCGGAGGGACGGATCCTGCCCAAGCACTAATCAAAAGCCAATAAGGTGACCGATAATAATAATAATAATAATAATAATAATAATAATAATAATAATAATAATAATAATAATAATAACAACAACAACAACAATAACAACAACAACAACAACAACAATAATAATAATAATAATAATAATAATAATAATAATAATAATAATAATAATAATAAAGCCAATATGGCTTGCTGCGGCATGCAGCCCGTTCAACAATAACACTCTCAACACGGCCTTTAGGCCTACCTCAGTCATCAACCTCTCAAGTCTCAAGGGCTCACAATCTCATATCACTCAGCCCAATAGCACCACATATGATAAACAATGATAACATGCGATGTAACAATGAATGATGAGCAGAGACTGAGATATGACATGCAAATGAAGAATCATGACTGAGTGCATAATTATAGTAAAACTAGATAACCAGCAAAACATAAATAGCCTCATCAGGTTTTAATCAAATAACCACATAGCCTAAATATGATTTCTAGCATAAATCATGGTTCAATAAATCTAACAAATAGGAAATATGCGGATAAAATAAAACATGATAGCAACATAGTTTAAAAATCAATACTGATCATGAATACCCAGGTGCGCGCCCACACGCCCGTCACCTAGCATGTGCGCCAGCCTAACACATCACAACAAACAGTTTCCAACGATAAATACTCTCCATTCAAAGTTTAGAAATGTTACTTACCTCAAAAAGCGCGCAAATCAATACTCCAACCTTGCCTCGCGAATCGGCCTCTGAACGACTCGAATCTAGTCACAAACAACTTAATACCATCAATAATAGCCGTAGGGCACAATCTCAAATGATAAAGCTAAAGTCTTTAATCAAAATTGAAAAGTCAACCTCAAGCCCGCACCTTGGAACCTGACAAAATTCATAAATTTCAAACACCCATTCAATTACGAGTCCAACAATACAAAAATTCATTCAATTCCATTCACAAATCAACCACCGAATCACCAAATCTCATACTCCAACAACAAAGCCTAAAATTCCCAATTTCCACCTCAAATACACATAGACTAGGTATAATAATCAATAATCAATATTGATCAATAAAAGTGATTAATCTTCGCTTATCTCTTTAATTGTAGCAAAAAACATCTAAAAAATCGCCCATAGCCGAGCTCCACAAGTCCAAAATGAGAAAAATGGCTCAAACCCCAGTTTATAACATCTGACCAGCGATTATTGCACCTGCGGTCACTTAATCGCATTTGCGGTTCCGCATGTGGTCCAAAAGTCGCATCTGCGATCCAACACAGCCTCCATCCATTTTTCATTTGCGGACAATGTTCCGCATCTGCGGGTCTGCTTCTGCGGACACAGTCCGTATTTGTGGTCTCAGAAGCCCTCAACCCCTTCCGGATCTGTGGACTACCTAGCGCATCTGCGCTTCCGCAAATGCGGCTCCCGTTCTGCATCTTCGACCACTGTTAAGTGTAGCTTTCTCCACTTCTGCGGCTTCGCACCTGAAGCCAAGACCTCGCATATGCGATCACACCAGTACCTGGAACTTCTGCATTTCATCAAAGTGCAAACATGTTCCGCCAACCATCCTATTCACACCCGGGGCCCCCGGTACCCCATACCAACAGGTCCAAAAACACGTTACGAACTTAGTCGTAGCCTCAAATCACATCAAACAACATGAAAAGTCACAAATCGCACCCAATTCAAATTTAATGAACTAATGAACTTCCAACTTTTAAAACTAATGCCGAACCATATGAAATAAACTCCTAATAACCTCAAATTCTGCACACTAGTCCTAAATGACACAACGGACCTATTCCAACTCCTCGAACTAATATCCGAACCAAGTATCAATAAAGTCAACTCTCAGTTAAACCTCCTAACCTTCCAAACCTTTAACTTTCCAATTTTCGCCAAAAAGTCTCAAACCGACCTACGGACCTCCAAATCAATATCTGGACATACACCTAAGTCCAAAATCACCATACAAAGCTATCGGAAATATCAAAACTCCATTCCGGAGTTGTCTATATAAAAGTCAAGCTCCGATCAACTCTTCAACTTAAGCTTCCAACTTTGAAACTAAGTGTCCCAATTTACTCTGAAACATTCTCGAAACCAATCCAACCACCCCGACAAGTCACATAACCACAACTGAACATAGAAGAAGTGGTAAATAGGGGAATGAGGCTACAATATACAAAACGTCCGGTCAGGTCGTTACATATTCATAATTTTAAGTGTGGATGCATATCATTTAACCATAGTTAAGTATAAAATAGATTATATACATGGCATATATCATGAATTCATTAGTTTGGTGTAAACACTGCATGCGAAAAATATTTATATACATTCCATCTTATAAGGCTCCCAAACTATGATTATAATTTTCAATTAAGCGATTCAATTACACCTTTTTTCTATTTTCTGTCCTCTCCTCTCCTCTCCACCCTCCCTATTTTTCTGCCGCCATCTCTCCCTCTTCTTCTATTGTCATCTCTCCTTTATATACTACATAATTTCGACTTATACTATAATACTCTTCTCGAATACTACATACTTACAACCTCTAATTATTTTACATTTGCAAGGATAATTGGTTCACACAGCCCAGGGTTTTGCAACTAAACAAGTTTTACAAATGCCTCTTTCCCCATGAACTGACAGAGACTTGTTTATCATTCAAAAAGTTAGATAGCCAACATATTTCTAATTCTTAAGCAAAACCTTTGCAGAGGCGGATCTAAGAATTGAAGTGTATGGGTTCCTACCGCAATTTTATGTCTATATTATAATAACCGAATTAAGGAACGAGTATCAATATTCAACGTACATTTAGAAAATAACAAAACACTTAAAGATAACATATGAATATAAACATTATCATTACAATTGTACTCGACGACTAGTCATGTTTTGAAAACGATCGATGATCGCATCATTAGGGACACTTTCAAATACTTCATCCTCTATATAACAAACTAAACAATCATTAAAAAATTCATCACCAATTCTGCTTCGCAAGTCATTTTTAACGTACTTCATCGAAGAAAAAGCTCTTTCTACCATTGCAGTAGCGACAGGCATATCAAACTTAACTTCACAAGCAAATAAACAAGTCTCCAAGTCTTGTGAAAATTTGTTTTAACCAATGTCTCTGAAAGATCTCCAAATCTTTTCAAGTTAGAGAATTCATTGCCCGTCTCTCGCACATAGTCAATAAAGATGTCAAGCTCAAAACCAAGATCCTCAAGCATAGAATCAGTAAACTCATTTAGATAGTGTGTAGCAAGTTTCATAATCCAGTCCTTATCATAATTTACAAAAGAATTGTCTGGACTTAAACTAGCCATACCAAGAAGTAGATCAGTATTCACTTTATTGAAACGACCGTTAAGCTCCGAAAGTTGCAAATCAATAATAGCATAGAAAACCTCTACACGCAAATGATAAGAATATGTAACACTTGATTTCTTACGCTTTGACTTTCCACGAGCATAATTCATATCCATTTCGGGGATCACAATACCATGCTTGACACAAAATAAAGAGACGTCTTCTAACAAAGAATTCCATCCAGAATCTCTCATATCTTGCAATTGCTCTTTGCGAAACCAACAAGCTTCATTGCACTTAAAATATCTTGATCTTTTTTTTGCAAAGTCATATTTAAATCATATGTAAGTGCCAATACTTTCAACATCAAATGTAACATATACACAAAGTCATAAGATCTTATGTCATCCACTAGACTTTTTGCCATTGATCTCTCATGATAATTTGAACCCTCAATTGCAAGAACTCTAAGTACATGAACAATTGATGAGAATAAACTAATAAAATTACGCACTATCTTAAAATGAGAACCCCACCGTGTATCACCTGCCCTTTGAAGTCCAAGTTCTTGATTTAAACCGCTTCCCGTATAAACTTCACCAAGCACTAGTAGTTCCTCTAATTTTTCTGCTTGATCATCTCGAAGCATCTCCCTATGCTTAAAAGAACCCCCAACAATATTTAAAACATTTGCAAGAATATCAAAAAATTGTTCGGCCTCATAATGTTTTTTTGCAACAGCTACAAGAGTCAACTGCAATTGATGAGCAAAACAATGTATGCAATACGCCAAAGGAGTATCATTCATAATTAAAGTTTTAAGACCATTAGTTTCTCCTTGCATGTTACTAGCTCCATCACAACCTTGTCCCCGTATTTGAGATTTACTCAATGAATGTTCCAAAAGCGAAGAACAAATTGCTTCTTTTAATGACTTTGCAGACGTATCTTTAACATGAACAATGATAAGGAATCACTCAATAACTTTACCCTCTTTGTTGACATAACGCAAAACAAGTGCCATTTGTTCCTTATGAGAGACATCCTTAGACTCATTAACCAATATCCCAAAGTAATCCCCATTCAAGTCTTCCACAATTGCTTTCAATGTTTCTTTTGCACAAGAACTCACAATGTCTTTTTGTATGCTTGGACAAATCATAATGTCATTTTTTAGAGCATTTTCTAGCACAACTTTCTTTACATCATCCTTCTTATCCGCATACCACTTTAAGAGATCTAAGAAGTTGTCTCTTCTTGTAGAAGTTTCACGCTCATCGTGACCCCGAAAAGGTATTCCTTCTTTCAAAAGATACCTTGCAACATCAATTGAGGCATTCAAGCGGACCCGATACTCACTTTTAGTTTTCTCGGATTGCTTATCAAAAGATGTTAAAATAGATTGTGCTTGATTCGCTAAATCTAGCATCATCTTGAAACATCGATTATGAATACTATTCACTTCACCCACATGTGCGTTAAGCCTTTCTATACCTTTATTCCAAGCCCTAAAACCATCTTTTGTTAAAGAATCACTTACTTTTTTCCCATATCCGCCAATCTCATTTTTAAACAAGTAACAACATAAGCAAAACGCTGCATCTTCTTTAATACTGTATTCTAACCATCTAGAGTATGAAGTTCTAAACCATTCCGGATTAAAATGACGCAATATCCCACCAAAATTTGTTTTTGGAAAAATAAAATTGCGAGGCCGATAAGGCCCTCTTTGAATGTATGTCTTCTCACGCGGTCGCGTAGATTAGGAGGAAATTCTGAAATTTATTTTCTTTCACCAGGATCAGGTTTAAGAAGATTCGAATCTAACATAATATCTATGTGTGATGGTTGGGAAGAATTGACATTGTCAATGTAACGACCCGGCCGGTCGTTTTTGGAAATTAAACCTCGATCCCCTATTAACTGTTTTCCCCAAGTTTATTTCTGCTATTTTTATTTGCTGGAATGTTCGATTTTGAGTTTCGGAGAGTTTTGGGACACTTAGTCCCTAAATGAGAGCTTAAGTGTTGGAAAGTTGACCGTAGTCGGAACAGTGTGAAGACGGCATCGGAATGGAAATCTGACGGTTCCGTTAGCTTCGTTAGGTGATATCGGGTTTAGGGGCGTGCTCGGATTGTATTTTGGAGGTCCGTAGCTAATTTAAGCTTGAAATGCTGAAAGTTGAATTTTTTAAGTTTCCGTTTCGATAGTGAGATTTTGATCCAAGGGTCCGTATGGAATTCCGATAGTTGCAGTAGTTACGTTATGTCATTTGTGATGTGTGTGCAAAATTTCAGGTCATTCGGAGGTGATTTGGTTGGGTTTTTGATCGAAAACGTATTTTGAGAAATTTGGAGTTCTTAGGCTTGAATCCATGGTTAGATAGGTGTTTTGATGTTGTTTTGAGCGTTCCGAAGGTTGGAACAAGTTTGATTGATGTTTTAGGATTGGTTTGCAGTTTTGGTTGAGGTCCAGGGCCTCGGGTGTGTTTCGGATGCTCAACGGACCATTTTTGGACTTGGAAAGATTGCAGATTTTCTGCTGTTGTGTTGCAGAGAAACCATTCATCGCGTTCATGAGAGGGTCTCGCGTTCGCGTAGAGCATCTGGGTGGAGCAGCTGAAATGTGCTTCGCGTTCGCGAAGGTAAGGACCCATTGGTCTTCGCGTTCGCGACATGGCCCCGCCTTCGCGTAGGGTCTGCCCGTGTAAGCTACGCGTTCGCGAGTGGACCTCGCGTTCGCGAAAGAGGAATTTGGCCAGCAGGACTTTTGTGCATCGCGTTCGCGATAGTAGCCTCGCGTTCGCAAAGAAGAACGCGCCTGGGCAGATATAAGATTTCAAAATCGAGGGTTTAGCCATTTTTTTATCAAAACTTAAGCTTGGGAGCTCGGATTTGAGCGAGATTTTGAGGGATTTTCAGAGATATCGAATGGGTAACGATTCTTGACTCATTTTTGCTTGTAATCCATTAATCTAATCATGAATTCATCCTTTAATTTCGGAATTTGTATGAAAATTGGGGGAAAAGTTCCTAGACCAAGAAATTGAGTTTATATTGGGGATTTGACATCGGATTGGGATAATTTTGTTATGGTTAGACTCGTGAGAGTGTGAGGATTTTGAAACTATATATTTCACCCCGATTCCGAGACGTGGGCCCGAGGGGCGTTTTGGTCATTTTACCTAATTTCGCGTCTTAGCTTAGAATTTAATTATTGAATCAGTTATTTGAAGTGTTATTTACATTATGAAATTTAATTGAATAGATTTGGGCCATTTGGAGTCGGATACTCGTGGCAAAGGCGTGGTTTCGGGTTGACTTGCACTTGTTCGAGGTAAGTGACTTGTCTAATCTTGTGTGGGGCACCTCTCCCCTTAGGATTGATATCGTGGTAATTGAAATGGCTCGTACGTGAGGTGACGAGCGCGTACTTGAGCTAATTGTTGAAAAATCCGGTTTTCTTTAAGTTTTTCAATTGAGCTCCTTCTCCCGTTTCATTATACTTGCGTATTTAGCCTGTTGTTAGTTTAGAAAAGCATGTTTAGTAGACTTAATCGCCTATTTGCTTAAATTTCCATAATTGCCTTACGTGAAGCATGTTAGGCTAGACTTATCTGTTTATTTGTTATGAAATTTAGCATTTATTGAGTATTCTTGTGTTGCTACTGTGCGTTTTAATTTGGGACTACGGGACGACATCCCGGGAGATCCCCTGCAAGTACTTATGGTCTGGACTCAGGTGCGGGATACCAAGAGATCCCCAGCACGTATATTGAGGATACTAAGAGATCCACGGTATACCAAGAGATCCCTAGTATATTTTTCTGAGGATACCAAGAGATCCTCGGGATACCAAGAGATCCCCGGTTATCATCCTTGTTATGAGTGGTAGTTCCTTGTTGTTTGCCTTTACCTTTGTTTTTCCGTTATTGTACTTTTATTATCCTGTATAGGCTCTCATTGTAGATTCTTAGTTGCACTTCTTATCTTATCCTATCACTTTATTATTTATTAAATCTCAGTAGGGCCCTGACCTCCCTCGTCACTACCCGATCGAGGTTAGGCTTGGCACTTACTGAGTACCGTTGTGGTGTACTCATGCCATTCCTGTGCATGTTTTTTCATGTGCAGATCCAGGTACCTCTACTCAAGCTTACCATTCTTGAGGCGAGGCCATTCTACGGGACTTCGAGGTATATCTGCTGCATCCGCAAACTGAGGAGTCTCTTTCTATTCCTGTATTTAGTAGTTAGCCCTTCTGTACTTTATGTTCTTGTTAGACATTCCGGAGATTAGAGCTATGTAGTGTTTTTCTCAGCTTGTGGATCTGTGAGTTTCCGGGTTTTGGGATAGTGTATCAAATTTTGAGAAGTTGTGTGTTTGTGTCGAGCGGCATTTAAATATTATTCCTTTCAGTTATTTCGGATTTGATTATTTATTCCGCAAGATTAGTTTGTTTTTTCGCATTGTTAGGCTTACCTAGTCGTAGAGACTAGGTGCCATCACGATAGTTCACGGAGGGCGAACTGGGATCGTGACAAGTTGGTATCAGAGCTCTAGGTTCATAGGAGTCATGGATCACAAGCCGGTTTATTAGAGTCTCGCTGATCGGTACGGAGATGTCTGTACTTATCTACGAGAGGCTATGTAACTGTTAGAAAAATTTCCTTCATTTGAGTTCCTTGTCGTGCGAGATTTTGATATCACAATTCTAAACTTCTGGCTTTCTATTCTCTCACAGATGGTGAGGACACGTGCTACACGAGATGACCAGGCACCTGAGCCCCCTATTGGAGCTGTCAGAGACCGGGGCTGCGGTAGAGGCCGAGGACGCGCTCGAGGTGCAGCCAGAGCACCCGCGCGAGCTGCCTCCGAGGTACCACCAGTAGTACCAGCCGGAGTCCAGACACCTGATACGTCTGCCACTACTACTCCAGCACTCCAGGAGACTTTGGCACAATTTATGAGCATGTACACCACTTTGGCTCAGGCAGGGTTGCTTCCCCTTGCTGCAGCCACATCCCAGGTCGGGGGAGGAGTACAAACTCCCGCCGCCCGCACTACTGAGCAGCGAGTGCATGTTGAGCAGGTCCCAGAGGTTAGTCCTGCACCGCCCGCAGTACCAGTTCAGCCCGAGGACAGGGCAGGAGCTTCAGAGGATGAGCAGTGGAGACTTGAGAGGTACAAGAAATATGATCCTCCTGTATTTAGTGGGTTAGCATTAGAGGATGCCTTGGGATTTCTGGAGGAGTGCTACCGTATTCTCCGCACTATGGGCATATCAGGATCGAGCGGGGTTTCCTTCACTGCTTTCCAGCTTCGAGGAGTCGCCTATCAGTGGTGGCGAGCTTATGAGTTAGACAGTCCGGATGAGGCAGCTTCCCTGACTTGGTCTCAGTTTTCATATACGTTCACGAGGGAGTATGTCCCCCAGAGTCTTAGGGACGCCTGGCACGCGGAGTTTAAGCATTTGCACCAGGGTACTATGACTGTCTCGGAGTATGCTGTCTGTTACATTGACTTGGCGAGACATGCACCAGCTTTGGTTTCTGCGGTTCGCGAGAAGGTTCGCCGATTCATTGAGGGGCTTATTCCCAGCATCAGATCTAGCATGACTCGTGAGTTAGAGATGGATATATCTTATCAACAAGTGGTGAGCATTGCTAGGAGGATTGAGGGTATGCATGCTAGGGACAGAGAGGAGAGGGAGGCCAAGAGGTCTCGAGAGTCGCGCCATTATTCTGGTGCCCATGCCCCACTACAGGTCATCATGGTAGGGGTCATATGGGTCGCCCCGTTCATTCAGCTCTTCCAGCAGCCAGTGGTATTCCAGCTCCACCTAGGTCTCAGGAGCCTTATATGCACCTCCAGTCTCTAGTGCGCCTCCTGCACGGGGTGGTTCCAGTGGTCAGTCCAGCAGACCTGGCCCAAGCTAGTCATAGCAGCCGCTTCCTCCCAGAGCTTGTTTTGAGTGTGGTTACACACGCCATGTGGTGAGGGATTGTCCCAGACTTGGGAGGGCTGCACCCCCACAGACCCCTCAGCCGCAGCGCACCCCGCAGAGCTCTCAGGCTATGGTCCCAGCACCAGTTGCTAATCCAGTGGCCCAGCCAGCCAGAGGTGGAGATCGGGGAGGTAGAAGTCGCCCTCGAGGGGGAGGCCAGGCCAGATATTATGCTCTTCCAAGCCGTACTGAGGCTGCCGCCTCCGATTGTGTCATCACAGGTACTATCTTGGTCTGTCACAGAGATGCATCGGTTCTATTCGATCCAGGCTCCACTTATTCTTATGTATCTTCTTATTTTGCTCCGTATTTGGGTGTACCTCGGGATTCTTTGAGTTCCTCAGTTTATGTTTCTACTCCTATGGGAGATTCTCTTGTTGTGGACCACGTTTACCGGTCATGTTTGGTTATTCATGGTAGGTTTGA